CTTCCAGTCTGTGTGGACAAGGGCTCTGGTCCATTGGGCTTGCAACTAAGCTCCCAGTATTCAGGGTTGGGACTCCCTAGCATCACCAGAGATCCTCACCAGGTATTTCGATAATGAACTAAAGCAATGTGGATGGCAAACGTCTACAAGTGAGACATGAAATGGTGCTAAGTCAAAGGTAGGTGAGGATGCTTCCTAAGGGAATATACCAAACATACCTCTGACAGACAGTTAGCAAATGAGGGGCCTCAACTCTAGGGATCAAGTGTTTGCGAGAGCATGTACTTTAATAAGAGCATTCTGACAACCATGGAGAGGGGGGAAAGCTTGGTTCACAAGTTGGTAGGCTATTGCATCAAGGAAGTATGTTTCCTTTAAACTCAAGCACTTTAAACTTAAGAACTCAACTCAGTCTAGCTCAGCGATTCTTGAGCACGCATAGCTGAGCAACCCAAGAACAACTACCGCATCTGGCATCACTTTATTCAAGACTCACGTGATGTCAAGTGATCCCTTTTCTCTCTGTCTCCATGTCTTGGTATTGCTTCCTTAGTTGTCGTCACAATGCTCAGACGGCAAGCAGGTCAAAGGAGTACCGCTCTCAAAGAAGTCTCGGTGGCTTCTTCATGACTTTTCATTGCCTCTAATCCATTCATCACTGATGAAGACCAAGGACGACAGCCTTTAGTATGGATTGCCACTCCATGTAAATGAAACCAGAATCCTCACAGAGGGTAGTATCGTGATGAACGTAGAGAAGACGGACGTGATCGAGGAGTTCATCTTCCACGGATCCACATCAGTGTTCATGGAAGCAGCAGACGAGAAAGCACACGAAGGGTTTCATTGGGCTAATCTGCTGCACACGAACTCTTTCAAATGTTGAAGAGCGAGGGTGTTCTTTTGAGGACTAGGGTGTACCTGATCCAAACCACAAAATTTGGACATTGATTAAGGAAGACCAAAGAAGAACAGAGAGGCTTGCATTGTGGTGCTGGTGAAGAATATTGAAAGTATCCCACACTGCTGAAAGAACAGGGAGATCGGTCTTGCAAGAAGTACAGCCAGAAAGGTCCTTCAAAGCGAAGGTGTGGAGACGTCACCTCGTGCGCTATGGAGACGTTATCAGGAGAGACCAGTCCCTGGAAAAGGACAGCATGCTCAGTCAAGTAGAAAAGGAGAAAGACCCTTGACAAAAGGGATTGAGACCGTGGCTGAAATCATGGGCCCAAACAGAGCCACACTTGTGAGGATGGTGCAGGCCCAGGCAGCGTTTCCTTCTGGTCTCCATTGGGTCACTATGAGTCAGAGCCAACTTGACAGCACCTGACAACAGTGGAGTCACACATGCATTGCTCACCGTCACAAACAACCCCAGTGTTCTGGAGAATGGAATGATTGACTGACTTAGACTAGGATTCATACTTCGCCCTTTAGCTAAGCATTAGGGAGCAGTTTATTCTCTAAAGGGAAATTGCGGCCTAGCCGTTAAAATAAGGAGGAAATGGTGGCTTCTAATGGTGAACAGATGACAATGACAAAGGATGAATTAGGGCTCAACCCTTGGTAATTCTCAGGATGGAAGAGGGAGGAGAGAAATAAGTTGCATCCCGGAGATGGTATCGGGTGATACACCTTGCTCCAAGTGGGGAAAGCAGGGGTGCCGAAGCTTGAATAGAATTCGGAGATGGTGAACTTCCGTGAGGAGAACTTAGCGATGTCATTAACAAAAATGCAGGATGAAGTCAGAGGAACAGATTAGGAGAAGAGGAAAAAGTTCTTGTTTTCTCATCCTTGTTTTTATTAATAAAATTGTTTCCAGCTTCTCAGAACTCAATCGCAATTGAGTCCGGCAAGAAGCAGAGGGGAAATTCTTCCACTAGCCACTTATTCTCCGAAGACTTGCCCTTGCAGTCATTAAGCGTTTTCTCTCTGAGCCCACGTGTGAGAGAATCCAACTGAAATTTTGTTTTTCCCAATACTTTCGGTTTCCTTTGGTTGGGCTTACCAGCAGCTACAGAATAGAAAGCCAGTGGTGCTGGGTGAAGACTTCTCTCATAGAACATTTCCACATGTGTGAGTCAAGGTTGGGAGGCCTTCTTCTAGCGCAGTGATTCTCACCCTGCCTCATGCCACGACCCTTTCATACAGTTCCTCATGTGGTGGTGACCCCCCAAGCAGAACACTATTTTCGGTGCTACTTCATCACTGTCATTTTGCTACTGTGATGAGTCGGGCGACCCAAAGGGGTCACGACCCACACGTTGAGAACCGCTGTTCTAACGCATTGTAGGTCAGACGTAGAGAAGCATGTTAAGCTCATATTGTAAAACTCTAGTGATTATCTCATGGAATTAGGAAGCAAGAAATGAGTCACTGGCGAGGGAGAGATCAGGGTCCAGGGAAAGGAATTCAGGCAGCAGCGAATGTTAAAGGAGAGGGTGCAAGTGAAGGAGCCAACCTGGATTTTGTTGTTGTTATATTGAGGGGTTACTATGGGTCAGGTACTGTTTTGAGTTCTTAACATGTAAAAGCTCATTTAATAGTTCCCACAAGACTTTGTGGTGAGGACTGTGATTGGCCCTGATGCGGAGGTGGAGACCAAGAAAAAAAAATGTGTGCTGACATGGTAGTTAAAGTGCTTGACTGCTAATGGGAAGCCTGGCAGTCCAAACCTACGAGCCACTCAGTGGGGAAAAAATGTGGCTGTCTGTAAAGATCCCAGCCTTGGTGACGTTATGGGGCAGTTGTACTCTGGCCTATTGGGGTAGTCTGGGTACTTTAGAGAAACAAATCCACAGAAACTCATGTATAAGAGTTTTATATAAAGGTTAAGTGCGCATCAAGAAAACATCCCAACCCAGTGCTGCCCAAGCCCACAAGTCCAACATTAACCCATTAACCCATATGTCCAACACCAGTCCACAAAGTCCTCCTCCATCTCACAAAACAGACGGAATGATGCCGACTGCAGGAGGAAAGCCAAGTCAGTGAATGTGTAAGTATCTCAGCACTGGCAGGGTGCTCCAGCACCCAGGGCTGCCTCGGGGTAGGTCCATGTGGCTTCTCCTGAGGGATGTCTTGCAGGAAGTGAGTCTTGCCAGCTGAAGCAGGGAACTGGCTAAGGCAGCTGCACCCTGGTCCAACCATCAGAAATCAAGAGACCCGAGAACTAGAAAGGCGAGGCTCACTGAGCTATTTACCTCTCCACCCTTCAATTAACCCCACATGTGTTTATCGGCCAGGTTGGCACAATAAACTAACTACCTCACCTATTGGGTTGCTATGAGTCGGAATCAACTGAATGGCAGTGGGTTTGGTTTGGGGTTACCAACTACAGTTAGTAAGTGGTGGAGATGGCATTCAAACACTGGCAGCCTGGCTCAAATTTCTATCCTCTTAACAGACTGGCCAGATGTTTGAGAACGGCCCAGGACAATCATCACATACACCTGTTGTCTTGACGTAGTTCTGGGCTGTTGTTGTTAGGTGCCACTGAGTCAGCTCCAACCCATAGTGACCCTACGCACAACAGAATGAAACACAGTGTGTTCCTGCTCCCTCCCCATAATTCCTCCTGTGCCTGAGCCCATGGCTGCAGCTGCGAGGCCAATCCATCTCATCCAGGGCCTTCCTCTTTTTCACTGCCCCTCCACTCTACCAAGCGTGCTGACAGTATGTCCAAAGTCTGTCAGGTGAAGTCTTGCCAGGCTTGCCTTTAAGGCGCACTGTGGCCTTACTTATCCCAATGCAAATCGGTTTGTCCTTTTACCAGGGCATGGTGCTTTGAATATCCTTCTTCTCCAGCACCACAATTCTTCTATGCTCTTCCTTCTTCAGTGGTCAACGTTCACATGCAGATGAGGCAATGGAGAAGACCATGGCTCAGGTCAGGCACACCTTAATCCTTAAAGAAACATCCTTACTCTTCAGTACTCTAAAGAGGTCTTGGGCAGCAGATGGGCTTAATGCAATAGGTCCTCTGGCCTCTTCACTGCCGCTTCCATGCGTATTGGTTGTGGATGCGAGTAAGACAAAATCCATGACAAATTGAACCATTTCTCCGTTTATCATGATGCTACCTATTGGTCCAGTTGTAAGGATCTTGGTCTTCCTTACATGGACTTGTGAGCCAGACTGAAGGCTGCAAGCCTTGCTCTTCAGCAGCAAGTGCTTCAAGTCCTCCTCACACTGTCAACAAGCCACCTTGTGTCATCTGCGTACCACAGGTTGTTAATAAGCCTTTCTCTGATGCTGATGCCACACTCTTCTTTGCATAATCCCGCTTCTCTGACGATTTGCTCAGCATATAGGTTGAACAAATATGGTGCACATCTATCCTGATTTGAAACCATGCCATATGCCCTCATTTTGTCCACACACCTGCCGCTCGTACAAGTTCCAAGTGAGCACAATGAACTGTTCTGGACTACCAGTTCTTCTCGAGGCTATCCAAAGTTAACTATGGTCCTCACAGTCGAATGCCTTTGCACAGTCAATGAAACACAAGTCAACCTCTTTCTGGTCTTCTCTGCTTTGAGCCAAAATACATCTTACCTCAGCAATGATATGCCTTGTTCCACTTCCTCTTCTGAATCAGGCCTGAACGTCTGGCAGTTCTGTGTCAGAACGGTACTGTACTGCTGTCTTGTCTTAGCCACCAATATGAATTCCAAAAAGTACCCTTGTTTGGACAATACCGTATGGGCTCTTAACCACTATATTTTGCTTATTCAAAGCCAAGAAAATCTAATCTGAGCAACAGAAGCACACAAGGGATTGGGGTGTGACCCAAGCATAGGAGGAGTGGTATGACTATTTGGTAACCATCCAGTTTGGCTTTAGGCTAAATCTGGCAGTATGTGTCAGCATTGCGTTAGTTGGAGCCAACAAGTCACAGTATGTAGGGCTCTGCTTTGTGCTGCTGTAAAGTTGCTCAGGACCATATTGGACCTTTTCCCAAATGACATCACTCATGGCCCATTGACTGGCCCCTCCAGGTATCCCCGGATCTCCAGAATGAAGTACTGATAAGCCTGTTGGAGACTGACCCTGATGTCGTGGACTATTTGCTCAGAAGGAAGGCTTCCCAGTTGTCGTGAGTATTGTCGCTTTCCATTCTTCTTCTGCATCTGTGTTGGGGTGGCCGATTTCCATTTCTAATAATGTTGAAGGGTTTGCAGAACTCCATGCACTATACTACCACCTCCAATGACATCTGGCAACTTTCTATCAATCAAGCTAGTCCACCTAACCGGAGAATGCCTTGGGCTCGCCCATCTACCTATCACCTTGCAAACCACTTGCTGGTCTCCCCACACACTGAGTTTTGCTATCCCATTTGGGTGCTTTTGATGGTGTTGACTAGAGGTAGGAATGTGCTGGGAGTAGGGAGCCCTAATACATTGGTGAAAAGCTCCAAGACTATGAAGGGCATCCGTCATTCTGCTGATAGAATCATGACCAGCTGTGTTCACAGACTTGGAAAGCAGCACCGGGATGTGTCTTCAGGTGTTGAGGATGCCGCCCCACCAGTGTAAATGGTACTTCCATTCTCTGAAACGAGTATCCTTTTGGCAAAAAAAATGCATGGTGGTCTCCACATGGGCCTTGGCTGAGATGAGAAAAGGGCATGTAATGCTATGGACATCGGCTGACATATTTGTCCCCAAAGTAAAAACTCTGAATGTGTGCATTTTGTCATATAATGTGGTCAATGCCAATGCACACATGGACAGAGAGAGTCGGGGGTGTTAGACATTTGGCAAAGTCAATTCACGAGATAATATCACTGACCAGAAGCCATGTCAATACAATGACACTGGAACTGGTGACAAGAAGGTTATTATCCTCTCATGAGAGTGTCTATTGTATTTCCAATCTATGGAATTCCAGTCATTCTAAGACATATTTTCCCTGTATTTTGTCATCTCTGAATTTGAGATGAATGTTAATGACTTGTCCTAATTTAATTCATAGCATTTTTTATTTCTTGGTCAGATATAAAATATATATGAGTATGTCTTATGTGTCTTACATCTGATGACGGTTTTAAAGCAGTTATCTATGGTAAGTTATTCCTATTGATGTCAAATTTTACGAATTAACATCCACTTAAAGCTATGTTAAATGCAAAAAAAAGCTACATTGTCAGAGCAATTTGAAGAGAAATTTGATGGTGTGAAGTTCCCACTCGTCATACCAATGTGAAGAGATTGCTATTGTTGGGCTCTGTCCAGTCCATGTGGACTCCCAGCAACTTCCTGTGTTCTCAGTACACTGCCCCTTAGGGTTTCCTATTAGGAGCCAATCTCTAGGTGCTTAACCCGGTGGGTTTGAACCACCGACCTTTATGTTTTCAGCCACTAGCACTACATTCAGTGTCTTCCCATTTCTTACTGCTAAGGGGAGAAACTTTTAATTGAGTAGCCTTTTCAAATGCATCTTTTAGAGCCCACCTCTGCCCCCATCCTTGCCAGGCCAAATTCAGGTTCAGGCCAACTCTCTCTCTGGATTCAGACCCCCCAAGTCCCACAAGTGACTGAGACTATGTTCCAAGCTCCCTGCCACCGAGTCATTTCTGATACCCACCGTGACCCTAGAGGTCAGGGGAGAATTGCCCCTGCAGTGGCTGAGAATGTCACTCTTGACAGAAGTGGAAGGCCTATTCTTGCTCCCACAGAATAGCTGGCCTTGGGGTGAGCAGCCCAATCCGTAACCACTAGGGCACCAATGCCACAACGGGGTTGGCATCATGTGGTCTGGATTTCTAGATCGGAGTTGGGCTCAGTTATGATTTTCCTAGACTTGTGACCCTTGCCAGGCATCAGCTAACCACTGGTTCTTCACGAATTATCAGAACTCCAAGGAACCCATTCATCTCCCTTCCTTGGGCAAGAAAATAAATCTGGCCACATTGCTCCCTGTGAATCCCTCGTTGAGTTACATTGATCACATGATCTCCTGGGGCTCCTTGAAAATGCTGCCATTTGATCAGTCGGTCAGGGGAGGCCTGGAATAAGTGCCCGGATGCTGCAGCCGAGGCTCCAGGCTTGAAATGGCAGGGGCTTTTTGCCATTTTTGCTTTCGGAACACCCCACCTAGGCCAGCATGGGAGGGAGCATGTACTGAAGGATGTCCCCGAGTGCAAACCAAGGGGAGATTAGTGGTCTTCAGACTGGCCTGTCTGCTGGAGTCGGCTGGGGATCTTGATGGGGTGTCATGCCCCAGCAGTTTCCGGGGATGCCAGTCCATTTGGTCTAGGCGGCAGACTGAGCACCAGAATTGTTCTAAGTGACCCAGTGATTGGAATGAGTTGGCCCGCTGAGCCCCACTAGCTTAGTGGCACCCCGTAGGCTCTATGCGGCCTGTCATGTAGGACTGGAGGTGACATGAAACTTTCCAAGCAAAAGAGCCACCACAGCCAACTATAAATCCATGTGGCATTTGGGACAGGGAAAGAGGTGTGGCCTTCATTGTAAGGACAGACTGGCCTTGAACTAGGAAGGAAGCATACACAGGATGGATGGGGAGCATGAACCATGGGTTGGCCGGAGCAGTACATGCGTTGGCTAGGAGGGGCATCAGGAGGACCGTGGCCAGATGGAAGGCCAGACCAACCCAAACCCACTGCCATGTGACCCTACAGGACAGAGTAGAATGACCCTGCAGGGTTTCCAAGTCCCCAACTTTCTCCTGAAAAGCCATGTGCAGATTTGAACCCATGCCCTTTGGGTTAGAAGCTGAGTGCTGATCCACTGAGTAGGAGGCCATCATGCTTAAGTCAAGAAATGGTGACAGATTATGGTCCCCCAAACTTCCAGAGGATATTGGCTACAAGGACATATCAATTACCCGTCAGTAACACTGTTGCCCAAGTGACTGCCTGGTATCTAAGTATAACACACTAGTCGCCCTCTTCAGCTCTGGAGCCAGACCCCCTGAGTTTCATTTCCAGTTCCACTGCCATTAGCTGTGTGGTCTTGGGGGAAATGCATCTGAGTGTCCTCATCTGTAAACTAGAAAGTTGGCATGGCTTCTGGTACTTCGATGTGATGGGGCAAAGGCACGCATGTGGGATGACGGACCCACTTACCACAGACCTGGGGAGGACCTACAGTTGACAGGTTGGCAGGTAATGCGGGAGAAGCCCTAGACGAGTTGCCCACAATGCACAGCATTTTTGGCTCAAGTTTTGTAGCCTCTATTTGGAGAAAGATCAGCTGCAAGGCTGTAAGTGGTTTCATTTGCCTGCAGCTTCTGGTCTTTGCTGCCTGTTGACAAGAGAGAAATGAGAGGGTAGATCCCCACGACAGCAAGGGGAAATGGTGCTGGATCGTATTTGGAGGGACAGAGAAGCAAGTTTTCAAGTGAATGTAAAACCAAGAACAAGAAACTCTTTCTAATGATGTCTGTTGTGCGAGCTCAAGCATTCGCTGGCATTTTAGGGTTTGGATTCGTGTGGGCCCTTGTTGCAACAGAAGAAACTTGGGGCTGTGGAAGGCAGATGCCTTCTTGTTTCCGGCGCTTGTCTACTTCCATTTTTGGCTTGAGCCAACAAAACGACAAAAGATTTCAAGAGGTTGTTGGTTTTGTTTCTTCAATTATTTCAAGGATACAAAGTGTTCCGGTTTCTATGGCTTTGTCTGGTATATTTATTAGAAGTATAAGCTCTTGCCTCCAAAGACATTTAAAGTTGAGTCCCTGTTCCCTCTTGGATGTGCAGATGCATGGAAATAGGAGACGGAATTCCAAGGTTCGTCAAAGAGGAAGGGCAGATGGGATGTAGGCGCAGGCAGCAGACCCAACATGGAAATGGCTGGGGGGGGGGGCACGGCAGAATACTCAGTCATTCAAACAAGTCATATTGGAATTGAGGATTTTAAATCATCAAAATTCATATCAACAACATCCCATGATGAACAAAATCGCAAAACATTTTTTAGAAGACTAGTACCATGCCAACCCATATTGTAGCTAGCCTGAAGCAAAAGGGGAACTGGGGGCTTATGTGTAAGCAAAACACATCCACAATGTGTTCAAAATCGACTTCTTTGCTTATCCACCGAGACAATCGCCTTGTTTGACAGCTTCCCTTAATCAAACGACAATTCGTAAAGAAGTTCAAATGAGGTGAAGCTGATCTCAGGAGGTGCGGGATGCTCTGCTACATCAGTTAGCTGCCAATTGTGCCTGCGTGTTCACTGACAGGTGGGAGGTTTAAAGCCCCCCAGGGGTGCCTTGGAAGAAAGGCCTGGTGCTCTGCTTCCAGAGACTTAGGGATGGGCCACCGTGAGTCAAAGTTGGCTCCACGCCAACTGCTTTAGTTAAGCTGGTATCAAATAGCGCTACAATCGAATCTATTTTGTCATAAATATATAAACTGGAAATCAAGCCCGACTTTTCCAGTTTTCCATATTTTTCAACTGCTTTAATGTTCTAGGGGAGGAAAAAGTGAACCATTAAAAAAAAAAGAGAGAAAAGGCCAGCACAGAGGGGGCACTTCATTGGGTTTTTACCGGCACAGAGAGGCACTTATGGGGTTTTTTGCCCCCGGCTCCACGTGTTCCCAGGATTCTGCACAGACAGGACGCTTTGTAAGACATATGATTCACATGAACCATGATTATCATGGGCTTCCTTCTTACAGCCAGAGCAAGCTCGGGAGTAGAGCCCAGCTCATGTGTGGCGCAGTGAATAGTTGATGTCACGTCACTATGGGTTTAAGGAAATGAGGTGGCACCGATATTAAAGCACTCCGCTGCTACCTCGAAGCTCAGCAGTCCAAAACCACCTGCTTCTCGGGGAGGAAGGGGGGTGGGGGCAGCCAGTCTGCTTCTGTAAAGATTGCCGGCCTCCGAATCCCTACGGGGTATTTTTCTGTCTTAGAAAGACTGCTGTGAGTCTCAATGGTTTGGGGTCTGAAAATGTGTGAGGAACTTGCCCGATGGACAGCTTCCCTGCCGTACTCAGAAGACAAGATCCAAACAGAACCTTCTTCATTGTGGAATAGGTGACCCAAACCCCCTCGGTTTTGAAATTTCAATGTAGTTCATTCCTCTCATGGTCTCTGTAAAATGTTAAATGAAATTATATATTGCTAGTCAACAGGACCACAGACAATGATGTTTGCCTGGAAAGATTAAAAAAAGGAATTTCAACAGTGGAATATGATTGCTCTTTTTGCTCAACGGCATGCCTGGCAAATGAGAAATCTCCCTTCTTCCCTCCTTGCCATTGAAAGGCATCACATTGCAGGGATCCCATCCATTAGGGTTAGGGAGGCCTTCGTTTGAATCTGGCAAAGATCATCACAGACCTCCTTCTCTTGGTGTGTTAGAGAATGGACTATCGTTTGAGTTTTTCTTTAACTGGGATTTGTTTTAAAAGAGAGAGAGAAGTGTTCAAGATGTTTTCGAGCTTAGAAAATGGACTTTGGCAGGGCACTATACCAGAGATGCAGCCTCCTGAGTGGCAGTAATTGGCATCGTCAGTGGTCACTCGGTTCCAGTTCCCTGGGAAACGGTGGAGGGCGGCACGTGCACAAGTACGTTCACCAAGCAAAAGAAGCTTGTTCGTCAGGGAACAACTTGATGTGGAACCGGGAGATCCTGAGTGGAATATTCCAGGGAGTATCATTCAGAAGGGACAAAGCCTGGGGCATGACACCCACCCCACCTTTTTTTCCCCCCAGATGCCTGTCTTGTGTGATTTGTCGATTCCGTCTAACTGTGCAAGATATGGATATGAAGGTCTTTTATCAGGCGTGCGGTTAACTTACAGGGGTGAAAACTGTCCGGTTTGATGTCTGTGTCCATATACCAGGGCTACCAGGAGCAAATTGAGAAGGGATCAAACCAGAGGCTCAGGGAAATAGCCTTTCTGCTCTGGGGCTACATCCCACATTTCTACTCTCCTTCCCCCGGGTTTACTCATGCCCCGGCCACTCACACACTTTCTGGATCAGGAGGATTGCATCCAAATCCAGTGTGAGCTCTGATGTCAAAGGTGCTGGCATGGGTGGGTGGACAGCCAGTTTAGGTCCGTGGCAGCCCCTTTTCGGGGTGGGGTGACTCTGCCCTTAGGATTCAGCAGAAGGAATACTTTGCTGAGCCGAGCACGATGGATGTGAAAATCCTCCCTCAATTCCCAGCCATTCTGGGAGCAGATGCCTTTCCCAGTCCCCTAGCCTCCAAGATGGAGACATGGTTGGAGAAACAGCCGCCTGGGAGGCCAATCTAGTGATCCACGAAACGATGCAGCCCAGGAGGCAGCCGGCACACATTTGCCATCTCCGCAGGTCTGACTGGCTGGGCTAGCTCAGCAAGTGAACTGGGGTTTTCCATTTATCCACAGAACAAGTTCTGTGCTCCCGGCTGCAGGGCAGGCCTGCCCACAGCACCCGGCCAGCGCGTTTACACCCTGACCTGGAGGGACCACACTAAGGGTGAGAACGTGACTCAGTCTCCATGCTCATCCCAGGCCTGTGTGCTCAGCTGGAACTGCCCATGCGTGGTGCGGGTGGGCCAGGGGTTTTTGGATCTCAAGAGGAAACCCACACTGCCTTGGAGCAAACCGGTGTCCACAGGGGACCCAGCCTTCATCCATTACAGGCTCCAGACTTAGCAGAAGAGAGGCCGCTGTGTGTTCCATGCTTTGGCAAACATTGGTTGAAGTAAATATTTCTCTGTAAGGAAATACATGAATTTTGGATGTCTTTGCTTGGGGCTCTCAACTCACAATTGGCTTCTTCCTGGTGGGCAAATCTTAGAGCAGGGGCTCAGAAAATTGGAGTGTGTGCCAATTTGACTCTGGCCTGTATGAAGATAATGCCCGCTGAGGGCTGCCCCAAGGTAAGCTGATCATGATGGGGTACAGTCTGAAGTGGAGGGGCTCGCCCGTTCTCTCCCTCACTCTCTCATTTTCCCTCCAGTTTGCAGGCTCAGGGTAATAGCCTTTCTGCTCTGGGGCTACGTCCCACATTTCCACTCTCCTTTCCCCGGGTTTACTCATGCCCCGGCCACTCACACACTTTCTGGATCAGGAGGACTGCTGATCAGATTTTTTTTTAATATGAAAAATCTTCTAGCACTTCATAAATGTGATCTAATTTATTTAGACCTTTGCCCAATTGCTTTTAAGGGAAACAGTTACTCTTATAAAATGAGCCATGTTCTAGCAACGTGGGGATGGAATTAGAAAGCTTCAGAAGCAGAAAGCAGCCAGACCAATGAAATAGAGCACTGCGAGGGAGGCAAGGGTCCAGAATGTCTGGGTCTCTGGCCCTGCTGGCTACAAATGTGCTCTGCGAAGCCCTGATAGGTCTGTGTCCAGAACACTAGAAATTTCTGTCCGGCACATAATGAACCCTGTCTAAATAGCAACTTGTACTGTTCTCACAGGCCACAGGATTGTTTCACAAAAGGGTTCAGAGTTGACAAAGCTTCTTGCCCTGTGTACCTCCCAGTGTGTCCCTTTTCATGACCAAGACACATGGGGTGGCTGAGAAGTGAAGAGCCAGCTCTCAGAGATGACCCTCTAGGCCCCCGAGAGACACCTCGGCCACCTGGGGACAGCTTCAGCCACCTTCCGGGGGCTCTCTCCTGAGTGGGGCCTGACTTAGGAGAATGAACCACAAGAGCAGAGAAAGGCCGGTTAGTTTCCCCTGCCCACACTCTCACCTTAACATGTTCGGCTCCACAACCAAGGTGCTGTCCGTTATCTGGATGGTGCTGGCTGCGGGAGGAGGAGATCCAGGCGCCGGCTGGAACGGGCCTCTCTCCTCCTATAGATGCCTCCATACTCAGCCTATCCCTGGTTTCCTTCGTCACAGACCTGTAGCCCATTGTCACTGCAGAGGGAGGAGGAGAAGGGGAGGCGGATGGCCAGTGGTTCTCTCTCTTCCCTGAGCTCCACAGGGGCCTGGAGGACTCGCTGGCAGGCCCCAGGCAGCCCACCCCCGCTGCCCTCATGCAAGAGCCCAAGCTTGGTTTTAGGCTCTGAGGCCGCCATCTTGAAATTCTTGAGCGTTCTCGAACCAAGGGCCGCTCCCATTCGTTTTGGCCTAGTCCATCGTTCCAGGGTGGGGCCCGTGAATTCACACCTTTAATAAGTTCGCAGGTCACATGTTGGCTGCCATTTCAGGGCCCACTTTGAGAACAACTAGGATTTTCCAGCATCAACCCGAAGACCAGAGGAAAAGGGCAGTGACCCTCCCCCGCCGCCCCCCGCCCCCCAACCACTGCTCATATGTCCAGTCTTGGTTGTGACGGTGGAGGCAAAGCCAGAAGTCGTGCACTGCTTCAGTTATCTTTGTTCTTGTGGTCACTGTGCTTTGTTTCAACCAGAGTAATTGCTCTCACGAAGATGCATGCTGCCCTTCCGCATCCCTCCCCCACGCGTGTAGGTGAGACCTCCCTGACTTAGACTGCCCATCACTCCACCGATCCTTTCGTGAAGCCAAGATATTATTCATTAGGATATGAATAAAATCCTAGTAAGTAAGTTGGGAGGCTGCGGAAAGGAAACTGCTAGAGCGATAAGATGAAGTCGGAGCATATATCCCGCCAGCGGGACTGGTGGGCGGTCGTCGAGAAAAGAGATGTATCTTGTACTTCCTGATTGACGATTCCATAGGTTTTGAGCCACCCGCTTGCTCCGTAGTAGTCCAAATGTTCCCAAGCCCGAGATATCTTCCATGAGGTCCCTTTATGCCCGTCACTCCCGGCGGAATCCCAGACTGCTGACATTTCGAGGAAGAATTCTCTTCCAGATGTTCTGTGAGGCAGAGAAGCAAGACCTGGACCAGAGTTATGGGCAGAGGAGACAGGGACCATCGGTTACTTGATGGTTGTTCCTCTTGGCTGATGACCTGAGTTCCTGCCAAACATCCCACAGAATCAGGCTTTGGGTCCCCACTGTCACGGATGGCCAACGAAATGCCACACATGTGGACCTGTTCAAAGAACGGTCCATGCCTGACATGGGTCCATCAAATGTTTGTCTTAGTGTATGTATTTCTATTGATCTATTGCTGTAGTGTATCTTTGTAAAAAAATAATCCTTCAAGGAATATTTTCAGATACACAAAACCATCTTTAACATAATACGGTATAAGTAGTTTTTATACGCCTTGCCAACTAGCGCCCTTTTGTGATGACGAATCACTCTATATACCTCCGGTTGTTACTCTCATAGGATTGAGAGGGGCTGGTTCCAGGATGAATGTTCCATAACCCGGGGACTGTCGGTCCTGGAACACGCCAGTTTACCTTGGGAAACAAATGCGATGGACCCGGGAATCCGATTCCTGGCCTTGGTGGGCCTATCAAGTCCCCGCTGTGAGCTGAGCTCCACCATAGTTGGCAACTGGTCACCCTCGATGTATCTGTTCCTCAGCCAGAACATCGCTATTGTGACAGTCACGCCCGTCAGAATTAGGGAGACTTTGTCCCTTTATTTGGATGCCATGTGGCTAAAGCCTCCCC